ACCTCGCTTTGAAGTTTCCCCTCCATCTATTAAACCCCGTAACAAGCCCACATCCAACATTTAGAAAGAGCAATTCCGCAAGTCGACTCCTTGGATGTGGCGCGGAGCAGAGCGGGCAGAGGAAGAGCATCTCCCCTCGCAGCTCGTTAGCCTCCTCCCCGGAGCATCATCCCTTCTGGGTGCTGCTAACGCCGTATGGTGACTCCGTTTATTTTTTTTTGCTCTCCCTCCCTTCTCCTCGAGAAGCAGCAGGGAGGCCCGAGGTCTGCACCCCGGGTCTCGAGCATCTCTGCCCAGCTTCCAGGAGCTGCTGCTCCCCCGGCCTGCGAACGTGACGCTGCTGCTCCTGGGTGCCTGGTGGGCTCTTCCCCAGCCTGGCTGACGGCGAGCAGTCCTCCGAGCCGTGTCACCCCTTCCCCGGCTGTAAAAGGGGGCTGCTGGGGGGGCGATGGAGCTGGAAAGCCTCCGGGTGCTGTGAATAAAGTGGTGACTTTGTCCTCGGCGCAGGGCAGCGTGGCGTAGGGAGCAGGAGGACGGGGAGAAGCTGTGGTGTTCACAGGGCTGGGGGTCAAGAGATGGAGGCTGGAGGCAGCTCCGGCATCCCCCCGGCGCCGGCCGCGACCTTTCCCGCATCGCCCCGCGGCAGTAGCGGCCCGGGTGACATGGCAGCTCTGCAGGGAAACAGGACAACGGGGGTAAAATGTGACGAGGGAAACCGGATCGCTCTGAAAATGCGCCAGGGTCGGTGAAGGAGCCCGCCTGAGTGGGGCTGCTGGGGGGGGAGCAGGGCTCAGCCCCCTGCTGCGACACCAACGCACCCTCCGAGTAACGAGATCCAGTTTATTAAGTGCTCCCTTTAACAAAGAAAATACAAAAAAAACAAAACCCCACCAGTTTCAGGTCTGTAGACATGAAATATTTAAATAAGGTTCCTTTATAAGAAGCTGATTGTCCTCTATCTAGTAGAGCAGGACCATGATTTAAGGCAGCTTTTAAGGTTCACAGCAGGTTGACTTGCCAGCCACCCCAAATCCGCACCCAAAAGGAGCTGTGCAGAGCTGGCACGGGGCGTCCGCGCTGCCCCTCGCCTGCATCAAAGCAGCTTTGGGGACAACTGGAATGAGCCACTGGCTCCAAAACCAGAACTTAATTGGGTCCCTTGAGATGTGGAAAGCGGGGAGGTCCCAGTAGATGCTGGTGGGTAGAACAGATGCTTAAAGCTCAGCAGCCTGCCCCAATCTGCTCCGTTGGGTTCCCCTCATCTTATCTTCTCCATTGGAGCTGCAATCTTTGGTTCAGATCAGCCCAGGCTTTGGGAGCAGGGAACCTGGCGGCAATTAACTGCAAGCAGCATGAGATAGGTGAACGGAGCAGCTCTCTGCCAGCCTGCACTGACCCCTTTGACTAAAGCAAAAATAAATAAGAAAAGGGGGTCTCGGGGCTTCCCAGCCCAGTCCCACACCACGGCAGTTCAACCCCGCCATCGACCACGTCTTCATCAAGGGAGGGCTGGGAAGGGCAACCCGGGGCCGGGTCCTAATCCTCGATGGGGGCAGTTAAGGAAATTGAGGAAAAGAGGAGGTCTGGCAAACCAAAGAGCATTTGCTGCTGCACCTCCCAATTCCTTCCCTTTATACCCCCATGGAGGTGCCCAGGCTCTGCCTCTCCTCCCTTCCCACCACAGCCAGGCTACAGGTCCCATCCAGACCACCTAAACATCACCGTGCCACCTCTCCCTGGTATTGCTGAGTGTAAGGAAAAGTCCTTTGGGGTTGGTTGGCTGCTGCTGCTCACCACGAGCAGCATCGCAGCATCATTCAGTCCTTGTGTCACCGTCCCAGCGTGGGACACGGACACCAACAGCCATCCCACGGGACAAACAAAGTGCTGGCTCTTGACCCGTTCTTGCACGGCCCCGGCCAAGCGGCGTCTACTGGATCACACAGGAGAGATTTTCTCCAAAACAACAGAGGCAAGAAGAGGAGGCGGTGGGTTTCGGGGGGATGAGATCAAGGTCTTCGTCATCGGGGACCTCGTCGAGGTGGTACCCATCCTGCAGCAGCTGCCGACTCAGGTCCTGGTTCACCTGCTGGGGAGGAGCAAAGGAGGCAGAGCTGGTTAAAATTAGTCCCGGTTTAGTGAAAATTCAGGTCCCAAGGCTCGCAAAGGGTAGGGCTGCGAGCAAGAAGGGCATCACGTCCTCCCTCTGGTACCTTTGCCTGGGGAGAAGCGGCACAACCAGAGCAGAGAAGACAAAAGCAAAAGACCGAAGAGCTTTTCCTGGGCTGCAGCACCCTGACACACAACCCATGCACCCCGAAATACCCCGTGGGCAGCAACACCCTTGCACGATAGAGCTCCACTGCAGGATCTGGGGCTGGACGATGCTTTAGATGCAAAGGGTGAAGCAGTGACAGCCAGCTGGGGCTTGCAAAACAGGGTTTATGCGTGGCTTAGATATATCGGGCAGCAGAAGCAGCAGTTTGCAAAGCAGAGCTCTGGATGGACACCCCCCCCGTAGGGTGATGCTTCATTTCAGCCCCTGTACAGACCCCGAGGTGTTACGGGGACGGAGGAACCCATGGGGGCCGCGCAGTTGGGTCAAACCCCTGGACTTGCCTCGGCGGAGGAGTAGCCCGAGGAACATCTGGATCCCAGCTCCCCGTCACTAAGAGAAGAAGGAAATGGTCAGAGCCAGCCAGGAAGCGGCGTCTTTGCTTGGGATGCAGACAAGGGAATTTCGGCGGGAGAGAGGGAAAGGGAGCCAGCAGCATAACCCCAAGAGATTTGTTAAATTTGGGACAACAGGATTGTTTCGCTGCTGAGAGGTGTCCAGTGACAAGGTGAATCAATCCCTGCCCAAAAAGCCAGCTCTGTGCCCGCAACACCTCCCACCCAAATTCCTGTGGGATATTCACCCAGTCCCCACCTGTCCGAATCGAGGGAGACCAGGTTTTCATCCGCCGTCTGGCTGAGCGCCGCGTAGCCCTTGTTAAACTTCACCGACCTGCCGGAAAGCAGAGGAGCGAGTCGGCGACAGGCATTTTGGCGTGGAAATACAGCCGCGGAGCTGACGGACTGAGGATGCCGGGGCAGGAATCCCTGCCCTGCGCGTCCCTTCCCACCCAGGCATCATCCAGCTAAGAATTCCCATTCCCACCACCAGCTAAGAATAAATTCCATCTAAGCTCTAGCGTACCCGATTAAATCCTTAACACCAAACCTCCCCCAAATAAGAGAGGCAGCAGCATGGCCCCTCGCAGAGCAACTTCTGCAGGAAAAGCGCTATCTTTTATTATACCAGATGCTTGCTGGCCAAGCAGACCGAAGTCCCAAACTCATTTTTCAATCCTCCGAGTTTCCCCATCTCCCCAAGGAATGCGAAAACTACATCTCGGGAAAAGAAAAAAAACCGGGATCAGACCTTTTCGCCGCCGGTTTCGGCTGGTGCGGCGCGGGTCCCCCCAGCAGCCCCTGCCTTCGCAGCGCTGCCTTCGCCAGCTCGCGCTGCCTCTCTGAAAGCCAAGCACAGGGGCAGAGCTAAAAATACGCAAGCGCTCCCCCAAGGGTCTGGGGATTTTTGGGGGGTCTCACTGCAGCTGGGTCCTAGGGAGAGCAGGGGGGTATTGCAGTGCTTTCCATAGGCAGCACCTATGGGGTTTTATGGTTTTTTTTTAACGTTTTGGGGGGTTTTTTTATGGTTTTATCCCACCAAGGAATAAAAAGGCTTTTGGTCACTCCCACCCTGGGCGAGGGGTGCAGATGTTTTCCCAAATCCCAGCCAGAGTCCCTGGGGTGACACCGAGCATCACTTACGGAGCTTGGCGTGAATGGAGGGAGGCTTGCTCATGATATACGGTCCCCTCTTCTCCACCGCATCCATCGGCTTGTTCAGCCTCTTGCTTTCAGCCCGAATCTGCTAAAAAAAAGGGCAAGAGGCAAATTTAGTAGCACCGACAAAGTAAACTGGAGTCATCTCAGAGAGCATCTGGCCTCGGTCATTCTCGGGAACTGAAGATCAGCCACCACATCGGCTGGGGAGAGCTGGGAGGGGATGGCCCCGTGCTGCAGCCGGAGGAGGGAGAGGAAAAGGAATAAGGAGATCTATTTGCAGATGAAGGGATTATTTGGGCACGGCAACGCTAAATTAAAAGTGCACACGGCGACCGGCAGTTTCTTTGCGAGCCTTGCCTCCAATAATATTCCGAAGAAAAGACACGACGGGAGGAGATTTAACTAGCAGGTTTATCAAATAAAATATAAGGATACTTTGATATTTTAATTTCTCTGTGGGTTTTGAGACTTTCAAGCTTCTCCCCATGCGATAATAAAACCACATGGTTAAAACGAAAGCAGTGTCACATAAGCAGGTCTGAGTCAGGGCTTTAAGGAAAAGCCTCCCTCATCTGTAAGGCATTTATCATCAAGGAGAGCCGGCACCGCTAAACGACAACGGACAGAAAAAAGTTCTACAAATAGAATAATTAGTGAGAAAAAAAAAGTCATAATGAAGAAAGCAGAGGAAAAATCAGAAGACGGGAGAGAGAGTCGGTGCAGGAGGGATGGGGAATTAGAGGAAGCAGTTAATGAAGAAACAACGCAGAGGACCTGGGGCGGTGATCGCAGAGCACAGCCAGGATTAGCGTCGGTGTCTTAAGCCGGAATTAGCAGGGCAGAGCCTTACACGTGGGAATAACTCTGTGCGCGGGGAGCTGGGACTAACCGAGCAGGCAGCAAACTTCTGTCCGCGCCCCCGAACCCCTCTGTATGTGCTATACCCCTCCCTATACGGCCCCCCTGCACGCGCTCTGCTTCTGAACCGTGCCTCCGCGCGTATAGCCCCTTACAGCCATATGCACACGCTCTACCCCTATATTGCTCCTCTGGGCATACGCCCCAGCCCTATACTGCCCCACACACGTACCCCAGCCCTATACAACCGATGCATGTACCCCATACTGCCCCATGCACGT